TTACTGGGTCAGGAAGGCGAGTGGAGAAAGCAATATGTTAAGAGCATGCGATCTGGGCATGGATCTCAAACATCTGCGGGCTCAGTGGAAGCATGAGCAACACCGCCACCTTCGTGCACATAGCCGCACGAGAACGCAGAAAACTCCCGTCGGTCCGATGCCCTGTCAAAGTTTAGGTTCATCTACCGTCCCTGCTCATCAGCGCACTTTTAGCCGTTCTGCCTCGACCAGAGCTGTAAGACGGCGGCGAGAACAAGAACTAACAGCTCCGAGCCTGTTCGACCCCAAACTGGGTCCTAATCCCCGGCCTCCAGACACTAAGCTCAAGTCACAGGCCGAGGATCTTGGTTTTGAGATGCCCGGTATGCGTAAGCGGGTATACACTATTCCTCACAACCAAGAAGATGTCCATCCGGCTTTGCGAAACCAGCCTGGACTCATACCTTCTCGCTCATCGACAAACGCGTCAAGGCATTATAACGAGTCAATGGCTTCGCATAATCCAGAAAGGACTATCACGCCTGATGATACCATGAGCCTCCCTACCGTTCGCCTTCCTCGGCACCACAATTCGGACGACCGTCCAGCTCCATTACAGATCAGACGCAGGCCTGTGCCACAACCGTCAGTCGCGGGTTCTACCAGGCAGGAGAACTCTTTCCTCAATCCTCCCGCTTCAATGATCTCCCGCCGATCACTCGCAACCACAGCGCACACGATCGCGTCTTACACCGGCGGCCCATCCTCTCGCACGGGATACATAGATCCTCTCGACAACCCGATCTATGACCACATTGAGACGCAAGAAGAGCGCGTGGAGAAGTACAGACAGCTTCTATCTAGCCATCCTGACCCCGAACCGTTCGCTGAATATGAGGATGACAACGCTTCTGTCTTCCCGAAGCCGCAGCGCCAGTCTATGTATTCTGCTTTCGGGGACGCCGGATTCAATTCTGCGCGTTTCGACGTGATCGATGAAGAACTTGCTGAAGATGAGATTGAGGACTGGGAGCGGGGTGAGCCTGAAGACGACGAGGTTCCTCAGGGATGTGCACTGAATGTGGGTATGATATTGGGCAAGGGAAGACGTCGGAGGGCTAGCGATGCCAGTGTGTGTTCTAACGATTTTTATTAGTATGTTTTGTATGTAGATTCTTCCCTTTTTATGCCCCCTTGTACGATTTAAACTCTATTCTTTTGGAGTTTTCAGGAGTAAATTGTCTTAACATCATTGATGTGCAGAGCACTTGTCCATTCATCCGTGACGTTGTTCTTTCCTTCTACGATCAGAAGGAATCCTCTCCCCGATGCTGTCCTTCAAAGACACCAAGATTTCCTTGCAAGATGAGTGTACCCATAGGATGGTCTTTCTCTTACATAGGATACCGGTGATGGAAGTATCGCGCATCAATCATGGTAGGATGGCTATGCGAAGTATCATTCCATCGTGAGAGCCAGTCGAGTGGAAGTAACATTGAAGAAATTTGATCGATCAATCGGATGCAATCAACTGCGGCACGCAGTATGGGAATACATATCGTATTTAGTCATCAGACGCCCATCACCTAATGTCCAAGGCTAAAACTGTTGATTTGGTAGCTATCATATTGTTCAGCCAACGATGTCTCCGCCAAACCCGATCGGCCGTCGGACTGGGCCTTGCTTCTTATAGGGCACGATAGCCATAGCTTTGTAGGTTTTACCCATACCGTTTGGCCCTCTATCGACAAGTCGCTTCCAGCCTGTTTCCAAGCGTCTTCGCGTATCTTCATCCTTAGCAGCCTTAAGTAAGCGATCAGCGCGCTCCTTAATGCCCATTGTCGATAAAAAGAAAGACTGTTCAACGGGTCCGTGAACCTCAACACCCGGAGAAGCATCTAAAGCTGCATCTGCAAGGGCGAGAAAGTCCACATCAGCCGAGAGATCTACCAGACCGGGCGATGCAAAAGGCGAGACAGTGGTATGTGAGCGAATGCCCCGGAGAGTGTTCGCTGGGATAGTATCCAAAGGTCCATAATCCAAGATCAAAGCTGCACCAGACGGCTGCGCTTTTACGAAGCTTTCCTCAACAGGAGCACTTCTGCTCGAGGGAGTATGGGATGCTGAGGTGTTGCTAGGCTTAGGAGCGCTGCCGCCTATCCGTACAGCGAAGTCAGATACGTAGGCAAAAGATTCAGGCGAGATCTCGATGATCGCATCTGGAGTATTCTCTAGCTTCTTGTAGCGATCAGACAACTTCGGCAGGTATAAGGAGTGTGGCGTCGGTGTCTTCGAAACGGTCAATTCGAAGTCCAATTTTTCATCCCCTTTCTTTGGCGAAGAGCCACTTGCGCCCATATCCGAGTACGGCGAAGTTGGCGACACAACCAGCTCATGCCAGGTATTCCTGGGGGTTGTCACGCCGTGCTTGGGTTTGATAGGGCCGGTTGGCGTGATGATGGTCGATGAGGCAGGCACCGAAGATTGAGAGATATTCTGGAAGACGTGGATTGGAAGTGCATCAAAGAACTCGTGGGCTAGTATGAAAGGCGCTGCCGTATGCTCTGTGTATGTTGTCAGTACGCTGTTGATGAAGAGAGTAGAGTCGAGCGCGTACCTTTTGGCACCAGCCTGATGTCTTCGCACCACTCGATCCTGCAGGAAGGCATGTACTTGCATTGTGCGGTTAGACCAATGTCGCTCTTCTTCAGATCATCGGTGTCAGACAGCAACTTTGCTTGCTGTTTCTGTAGGTAAGGTGATGCTTCGATGAGATAAATAGCCTCGATGCTATTTGTGAAAGCCTTGAAACTAGATATGGTCTGCCATCCTGTAAGCATGCTTCGCATTCTCTACTATTGGCAGAGCACCATACCCTCAGTACATCGTCCATTAGCGTTCCTCGTCCGGGCCCAACCTCGATTATCTGCACCTTGTCTTTCCTTCCTTGGGCAAGCCACTCTGCGTATAGCCATATACCAATAAGCTCGCCAAATACCTGGCTGATCTCTGGCGATGTCACAAAGTCACCCTTTGTGCCAAATTGATCCTGTCCAGTCGATGTTTGTCTTGTGTAGTAACCGCCATCGGGGTGAGTGAGGCATTGTCGCATATACGCCGCTACCGAGATCGGACCTGTCGTCTGAAGCTAATGTTAGACTTGCTTTCATACTGGGAAGGGGACTCATACTGTAATAGCTTCAGCCAGCGTCTTCGCCAGCGGCGTCGACCATTGTCGTTCCGAGTCGGAAGATGTAGAGGCAGAAGTCGACGACCACCGGGAGGCACATTTCGTTATTCGGATCGACGTTTGTCGTGGTACCGATCGACAACACTGTGTCGCTGTCCGCAGTAGGTTCAGAGGTTTGGTCCTCATGTCGGTCTTGTTTATCGAAGCTCCATGACGTTGGCGCGTTCGGAACTACAGAAAGTTTAGATCGGAACGCCAACGTGAACGAAGCTATGACCACCATTTAACGATTCACACGTGCTATCGGTCCAACCAGCGCCATCTACACGGAAACACACCGGCCGGGTCCTTCTGGGAAACCAAACCGACTTAACCTCAATACACGCCTTTGCATATAGATAATAGTGGAAGCCGGTCTCTTGGTCACAAAGGAAAGAGAAAGAGCTATGGCATCACGATGGGCAAATGATGAAGCAGACAAAGCCGAGGAAGCGCGTCGGAAGAAAGAGAAAGAAGAGAAGAAACGCCTGAAGCTTCAGAAACAGCAAGAGGCGGAAGCAGCCTCACGAACAACGCAAGAGGCGGAATCGAGACCTGCAAAGCGCAGGAGATTATCAACAGGCGACGATGACGAGGGAGCCGCAAAGCCCAAAGAAGAAGAGAAGGAGAGGAAGCTCCTGCGATTTCAAGGCGGAGCTTGGAACCCTTGTCGACATATTTCCAACTTCGAGACCCTCAATCAGATCGAAGAAGGCTCATACGGCTGGGTCTCACGAGCGCGCGACATCACTACAGGCTCCGTGGTCGCCCACAAGAAAGTCAAAATGGACTACAACCAAGACGGTTTCCCTATCACCGCGCTACGAGAAATCTCCATCCTGCAACGCTGCAGACATGCCAATGTCGTCGATCTTCTGGAGGTTCTATCTGGTGACGACCCGCAAGAATGTATCCTGGTCATGGACTTCCTCGAACATGACCTCAAGACATTACAAGAAGACATGAGTGAGTCATTCATGGCAAGTGAAGTCAAGACATTGTTACGACAGTTGGTCTCTGGCGTCGGCTATCTGCATGAGAACTTCATCATGCACCGCGATCTCAAGACATCAAACATCCTACTCAACAACCGTGGCCAGCTGAAGCTTGCAGACTTTGGTATGGCACGATACATCCCGCCGGCGAACGCACCCCTCACACAACTGGTCGTCACGCTATGGTATCGTGCGCCTGAACTTCTACTAGGGACTCGAGATTACGGGACGGAAGTCGACATGTGGAGCGTAGGCTGTATATTCGGCGAACTGCTTGCAAAAGAGCCGTTACTACAAGGCAAGAACGAGGTCGACGAGCTCTCACTCATCTTCTCCCTTTGTGGTCTCCCATCAGAGAAGTCTTGGCCACAATTCTACCGCCTGCCCAACTCCAAATCACTAAAGCTACCGCGCGACCACCGCAACGCCCCAGGCTTCAACCGTGCAAAATTTCCCTTCTTGACAGCGTCTGGCATTGAACTCCTCTCTTCGTTGCTATCCCTGAATCCAGACCATAGGCCTACAGCGAAAGAAGTACTGGAGCATCCTTACTTCAGAGAGCAACCCAAGCCGAAACCGACCGAGATGTTTCCCACGTTTCCAAGCAAGGCCGGGCAGGAGAGGAGAAGGAAGAAGAGTCCGAATGCGCCAAAGAGAGGAGAGGCGCCCGGCATGCAGGGCAACGTGGATTTTAGTAGTATTTTCAAGGGCAGAGAGGAAGAAGAGAAGGGAGCAGGATTTCAGTTGAAGATGACCTGATTGATTGCGAAGACGCGTGGGCATGTAGGAAACTTCTTTCAAGGCAAGATGGACTTCGCCCAACTGAGCCTGCGACCGATTTCAATTAATGTATACCATTGGTCTGGCCAACCGAATAGTCCAACCGAGCTCCTACTTGACTGTGCGGATGCCTCTAGGCTTTTCCAGCCGACAATGAAGACAATCTTGCGTCTCTCATCTGCGGTCTCTGCTTCGACTCCGGTCGCTGCCATAGGAGCTATAGCTTGGACTCCTCCTTCCGCCGCCTGCACCCGCGCGACCTCCCCTCCTTGGTGGACTGTCTCGCCTGCCATAGCCTCCTCCCCCACTTCGTCTTGGTGGTGTTCTGGACGGCGAGCGACTGTAAGAAGAGCGCGATAGGCTTCGTCGTGGTGACCGGCTGCGAGAACGTGTGTACGACCGTGGCCGTCCTCCGTAGGCCCCTCGTCCACCGCGACCGCCTCCGCCTCTGCCCCGACCCCAGTGTCCTCGATCGGGCGACATTCGACGCGGCGGAGATCGATAACGGCCATCCATAGGTGGTGGCCTGTACGCGCCAGGTGGGCCTCCGCCCCTCGGTCCCCGTCCACCGCGCCCATAGCCACCTTCGTAGTCGTCGCGTGGCGGCGGGCCTCTACGCGCGGGCGGAGGTGTCTGTGAGAAACGACGGCGGGGAAGGACAATGGAAACTTGGATCTTGGCTCCATCTAATTGTGCGTCGTGCATCTTCGCGATTGTGCGCTCGGCGTCGTCGATCTCCTCGTAGAGAATGTAGGCTATGCCGCGATTGATGTTGACTGTTCAATAGTCAGTCCTGCTCTGTGGGGAGGTAGGGCGAAACATACAGGTGGGGTTCATGGGCATGGTGAGTTCCTTGATGACACCGTACTTTCCGAATATCTCGCGCACGTGGTCTTCTTTGACGTTCCTGGTCAAGGCTTCAACTACGATCTGTTGGTGGGTCAGCGTGCTGGTGCAGGAAGGCTGAGGCAAGGCAGCTCTGGAAGTTGCGTCTAGCACAGGGAGTATGCTTACCTTTGCGCTTCTAGGTGCTGGCGACCGATCTCTTGGAGTCAAACTCCGGGAATAACTTCTACCTCTCGAGCGCGATCTGCTTTCTGGTGTGTAGCTCCGTCGCCCATTGCGCCGTGGAGACGGTGATGTCGGCGAGCGCGATCGAGTAATTGAACGAGACCGTGTAGGCGAGCGAGGGGTGACGGAGCGGCGCGGCGAGCCTGACTGCGCCGACCGAGGGCGGCTGGGTGATCTTGTGTGCGACGGGTCGCGAGAAGGGCTGCGCGTGCGCGAGCGTGCGGGAGATGGAGAACGAGATGGCATGTCTTGGCTGTCGCGCAATTTCAGTCGTAGCAGTGTCCTATTGCGTGCTCTTCAATGTACATTCGGTGGTTGGGCTTGTAGTTACTTTGTTGGTCATGTCTAACGCGACGTAACTTTTGGATGGTAGCTCCAAGCTTCAAGCTCGTCTTAGCGCTGGCACGTGACTAGCGGGACGTGTTCGCAAACAGCCATCATATAGTCAAGGGCCACGACAGGGAATAGATCGGCAATGTGGGAAGAGAATTGAATCGCCAGCTTGTACAAATTGCACAAGGTGCATGATGAAAAGCCAGTCGTCCCTCAAACTCCAGCTAATACGTTTTTCATATCTGCCCCGGAGCTCGATTTGCCATGTCTGCAATTTCAACGTTTGCTTCCAAACAGGCCAGAGACGGGTTAAATAGTAGACGTGTGAAGGACCTGGACATGGACGGTTCCAGTGTCCGCTCTTGCGTGACTGTTGGATCGACTGCTGAATTGCCAGCACTCTGACCCGCTATCCGTCCTCGACCCCAGAGCGCGGCGGATACTAGGCGGGTATCGCGGTGGGCATAGCTAAATGCGGCGCGCTCAGTGCCGTCGCGTTAGGCATCGAGGGCAGTGGTGACCCCCACCAAGTAAGCAGCTGCATGATAGCGCAAGGAGGACGCGTGACGGGTCGTCAGATTAGAAGCTCAGAGGTTTGCGTGCTGGAATTGGAGGAGTGAATTGCGTCCGTTAGATTTCATCGCGAGAGGCGGGGTCAAAACAGCCCCACTATCAAATCGCAACTTTAGCCCAACAACGCAGCCTTGAACACCCTCACCGCATTTACCCTCTTGCTCTGCTTAGTCAAAAGTACCTGCATCTACTTCGCCGCATCCCTCTTCATCTTCCCATCACCACAAGCTTCCACAGCACGCACATCAACCCTCCGCAACCATGTCCTGGCAAGGTGAGCAGCTCGAGGCGTCGAGTTTGGAAGGTCCTGGCTAACTTTGGGCGCAGAATACGTTGACACCAGGTACATCCAGCCTCCCAATCTATCACCTGTCCATAACTAACGTTATCACAGCCTCGTCGGCACTGGTAACATCGACAAGGCCCTCATCTGCGACATCGAGGGCTCGACTGCCTGGGCCGCCTCCGCCGACTTCTCGGTAAGTCGTCCGATACAATACGCGCCGGACACAGCGAGCACTCCAGAATCAAAGCTCCGGTGGCGCATAAACAATAGATTGGTGTTGACCAATTACAGCTGTCCGCTGAGGAAAGGGCCGCCATCGCCAAATCCTTCAACGACAAGTCAGAGCCCAAGAAGGTCATCTCGGAAGGTGTCAAGGTCAACGGTGTCAAGTACATGACCATCGAGGCAAGCGACGACTCGCTCAAGGCGAAGAAGGTAGGTGCCAGACATTGCCCACCATCAAGTGTTCAAGCACTGACAACAACCCCAGGGAAAAGAGGGCATCGTCGCTTTCAAGACTACCCAAGCCGTCATCATCGCCCACCACCCCGACACCATCCAGACTCCCAACGCCTTCAACTCCGTAGTTGAGCTCGGCGAGTACCTGAAGAAGCACGGAATGTAAAGCGCCTTCGATTCGAGCCTGTTTGTACTTTAGGGATATTTGCATAACCGAGTTGCGGAGCGATGGATGGCATCATGGGCGACTGCTCATGGACATATATATGATTGACGATGGATGAAATAGCGGCATTGGAGGATCCTCTTCGATACAATGACAACTCTCAACCCCTAAACCAGAACCTTGTTTGTTGCAGGTCCCAAAGAGTACTGTGCATCTCGCCGCCGAACATGCCAGTCTAGCTTCACATGTTGACTACAACAGCGACAAGAGACAAGCACACCGGAGCACATGTATGATCAAGCGCATTCACATCATTTCATGATGGGGCATAGACGTAACAAGCATGGGTCAGATATGTTCATGGTGTCCTAGCGATAAATGAGAGAGAGAATGCCTAAAGGCCCTTCATACACGCGAACTTCTTCACGACCTTTTCTCCAAATGCCTCCTGTAACTGGGCAGCAACAACCTCTCTCTTCTCATCTGCATTCTCATCGAGATCAAACGCGGTAGGCCCTTGCAAACAAGCCCTGATAACACCCTCCACCGTGTTACCTAGATAACTCTTCACGCCCCGTAGATGTTGTGGTTCCGTCTGTAGTAACCTTTTCTCCACAGCCCACGTATGCTTAGGCCGCGCCTTTTCAAGATCGATAGACAGAATCTGGTCAATGGTTTTCCAGTAAGCGATCTCCAGCAGTACGATACCGAGCGAGTAAAGGTCGAAAGACTTCTTGTAAGACTCACGACCGCCGGCATCTTCGCGATTTCCTCTATGCTGTACAGACGGATGACGATAGATGTCTGCAGCGGGATTGTCAAGAGGACGTTCAGTCATATCATCGCTGGTGGCCGGACGAGAATAGTCGAAACCACTAATCAGAGGATCCGCGTAGTTGACCTCGCCGTGCGTGACCTGACCGTTTTCAACTCTTCCTCCCTTCTTCGGAAAGAGGAGGATGTTGGCCGAGCGTAGGCCCTTGTGAAGCCAATCCACCGCATGGAGACGTTCAACTGTCTCGGTAAGAAGTCTCATGAGTGTGATACGGTCAGTGAGCGAAGGTATATCGTTCTCGGGGTTTGCGATGAGTGCGTGTAGAGATGTCGGTTCAGTGTCCGCCGGGACGGACGCGGGCTTTTCGAAGACTAGCCCGAAACGTCCTTCGTCCTCATCGATAAAGTAGCCTCGGCAGAAGGGTGCTCTAAACCGGACTGTTCTGTTGTGCTTACTGAGTAAGGCGGCCAGTTTCTTGACGCGAGCGTGGATCTTGGCGTCCACAGCACCATCCTGCTGCATGGGACCCGTGGTATCGGGTGATTTCCATTCTATCCACACAGGTGTGTTCTTGTAGTATGCCTCCGTGCGTACACCTTCATCAATCTCCAGGGGAAATTGACTGCCTAGCTTAGGGCGTATGTCCATGTACTGGAGCTGGGTATCACGAATGTCCTTTGGAAGATCTGGCATGTTGATCTTTTCTGCATAGCTTGTGGTAAGATCTTCGTGAGAGTCTTCGATAGCAAGGTGAATGAAGTTTTGCTGGGCTAAAGCAGCAAGAGGCTGACGGGCGGCACCACGAGCTGCGACGGCACCACTGTCCATCATACCATCATATTCGGAATCTTCCATCTCTATCAGTGAATAAGCCCTTCGAAAGCCCATCTGTTCTGATTGCTGGGATTGGTAGATTTGAACCATGTGCGACATCGTCCTGTTCAGCAAGACTATTTGGTCATTTGTACGCGTCTGCATATCGATGAGCAGGTCTACTTGAGCTTTGTCGAGCGCTTCGTGCATCTTGTCGTTGAAGTCGGCCAGTCTCGCGATTAGCTTCTCCATCTTGAGGTGATCGAATACAGCCCATTTGAGCCTCTTTGGTACATCCTTGAACTGTTGCACGAATTTGAGGGACATTTTTACCAGCTCGTCAGTAGGCGGGAACCGGACAGACCTTGCATTCCCTTCACCAGAGCCGTTGGTATCGTCTTCGATCAGGCGATCAAAATTTTGTAGGACGAATGCTTCAGCTGCTTCCTCTAGGAGAGGCTCTGTAAGTCTCTCGTACTTCTTGTCTAGTCGGCCGAATGAGAAGAGAAGCTTTTGTTGTTGCTCCATGATGTTGATAATGAGGCCTTTCGACATGTGATTCAGGACCAGTTTGTCGTCTCGATAATCGAGCTGTACAAGCTTTGCCCAGTTGAGAAGTCGATGTTCTTCCACTTTGAAGTTGACCAGAAGCGCTTGGCAGTCTTTGCGAAGATGACAAGCATCTGCGATCAGTTCGTAACCTAATCAAGATTATTAATGCATCTTCAGGCGTAGGTCAATGGGTATGCCAACCTTGGATACATCCCGCAAACACCTGGAAGAAGAAGGATACACCTCCGATAGCCAACTCTGCCATCTCTAAGGCTGTTCGGAGTAACCTTTGAAAGGGACAGCTGGACGGTCTCGCCGAGAGAGGAAAGCAATGAGATGAACGCAGACTTGGAGAATTACTCAAGGGTAAGCAGCGAGAAGGCTGATATTTCTACCAAACCTCATGGCGACATGAGAGCATAGCACGCCGCGATGCAGGCGCGCAACCTGATCTGTAACCAACACTGCCCCGTGGCCTCGAGCTGAAGGCCGTCATCACATCCCAGACCAATCCAGGAGGCTGGAATAGTGGGGTCCGGTAAGGGTAACAGCGCGATGGCGTTTTGCGATACATGACGAAGGCTGCAATCGTGGCTGAGGAGCGTTCTGCTGAACTCGTTAGGTGCAGCAGAGACATCACCTGGAGGTGATAGGCTGACGGGTGTATGCCTCGAGGAAAGCCGCGGCCCGCACAGCCACGCTAAGAAGCCACGCGAACATGGACCCTGGTCGACGCGTCGCATGCTGCCACCCATTTGCTCACCACCAAACCAGTGACAGGCGAACCGGTCACCAGAGCTACGACGGGCATCTGGCCCCCCGGAAATGCTTCTCGAGCATCTGAATCCTTGGTATCGCCCCGCATCAGAGTTCGAGCCAACGCCCTTCATCGCCCTCTTCTTCCGAGCTCCCGTCAAGCTACTCCTCTACCATGCATACCACCTTATCACATGTCTGCGCTCAACCCCGAAGCCTCTACAACGCCCACCCATTCGAGTCGTTTGCATATCCGATACGCACAATTTGATACCGGAAGATGTACCGGAAGGCGATCTGCTCATCCACGCTGGTGACATGACGAATGACGGAAGTG